TTGTAGGTATAAACAAATAAATTTTGCATGTTTTAAATTTTTTCTTGAAAATTGATATCTCATCTATCAGAAACTACAATTAATAATATTATTTTAATTATTTAAATGTTTTAAAATAAAATTTAAAAAAAAATACCCAAAGGGGTGAAAATCAAAAAATAAGGGTTGATTTTAAAAAAAGGGGTGAAATTTTTTCTTTTAATTTCGTATACATTATTGAAAAGTACGTGAAAAATGCATTAAAATTCATTATAGATAAATTAAAATCCATTAACTTTTGTCATAGTTATACACGGAGAGAAATAGATGGTACGGGATACTATCTAGATAGTACCAGGTACCATATTTGATCTTACATATACGGACAGCAATCTAGATTCTATCAGTTACTATCCAGATTGTACAATGTAACATCTTGATTATAGTGGGTAACATAACCATACTTTTTGTAACATCTTTGATAGTACCGAGTAGCATAATGATGGTACCGGATAACATCTACTTTTTACCATCTTAAGATCATAAATTCTTACCATCTATTTCTCTCCGTGTACGGATTTGAAAATGACAATGTTACCCTTAACGTCAAAACTTCGACCCCCTCTACTTTCTACAAATATTTTTTTAATGAGTTCATATTTTAGGGATTTATTACTATCATATAGGACAATAATTTACCAAAGTATGAAGCCAATCCCAGAACATTGACTTTTTGGGCTGGGGCGATTGAAAAAGAATCTCTCAAATACATGTATGGCTCATTTCATTTAAATTGTCATATTCAGCTTCCAGAAAAGTTGAGTTGGAAAATTTTGATTTTAAGGCTGAAACTAATTTTTTTATACAGTTTAACAAGTTAAATTAACAAAATAAATAGTGGTCACAAAATTAAAGTCATATATTTCTTATGGCAGACGGTTTTTTTTGGCAGAAATCGTCATATCTTATAAAAATTTTTTTCTGTCAATTATTGATAAAATAATAATACTAAATATAATTTGATTTGACTGGTGATAAATATACTAAAGTTTTTGGGGTCGTTGAATTCGAATTTGAAGTCAGATTTAAATTATTCAAAATCGCCGATCCAAAATGTCGACCAAGAAAATTTAGAAGTTAAGGGGTTAGGGGTAATCAGAATTTTCAAAAAATCAAATTTTTTTTTTTTGCATTTTCGTTAAGTAAAATATCTTAAAAATAATCTCTGAAAATTTCAAGTTAATCCGATAATTCGTTTTTAAGTTATTCGACAAATAACAAAGAGAGCTCGGGCCTTTTAAAGCGCTCGGGAGCGCTTGCAGCTAGTGTCAGCTGCAAGAAATCGGCTTTTAGGGTTCTATTGTCATTGATGAACTTAGACTTGGGTATATGTAGTAGTACCTAAATTAATATGGCCCAGGAATAGATGACTCGGTGTAAGTAATTTAATAATTCGTTTTTTTGTACGTAAATCTAGTGTGAAACTAAACGCGTTTTTCTCAAAACTATGTTTTTTGAACTGGTGACAACTATAACTCGAAAACCGCTCAGTCGATTTTAATGAAATTTATACAGCTTTTAGAATACATAATAAACTCGGGCCTGATCGAAGGATTTTTTTTTTTTTGAAAAATTTCGATTTTTTAAGACCAATTAACTGTTGATTTTTTCCCAAAAATCTAGACAAAAATTTCCTGAGGCCGCCATTTTGTTAATTTTTGAAAAAAAAAAATCCTTCGATCAGGCCCAGGATTATTTATTTATAAAACTAATTTTTTTATCCGATTGATTTCTGATTAATCTCCAAGGACTTATGATTGTCACCGCAAGGACCTTTTTTTGGAACTGGGTTAACACAAACAGCTGTAACTTCGGAAATAAAAATTTTTTTTTTTTTAAATTTTCGTGACTTCAAGTCAAAACATTGTTTAATAATACCATATTACTACTTTTGTAAAATAAAATTATTTAATAGCAAAAAAAAATACTGAAAATTCTCATTTTTTCGTGCCTCTGACTACCCCTAACCCCTTTCGATTCGCTTGAAACTCGTTACTTAGGGGTTTTTTGGGTTGCTAATTACAAATATGACGTCATATTTTCAAAATTTTAAATGATAGATTCAATATGGCGACCCAATATGGCGGATAATTTCAAGACTGATGCGATTCGGTCGAAATTTGTTTCTCGGGGGTTTTCGGGGTCGCTGAATTCGAATTTGATGACAGATGAACATAAAAATTTTAAATACGATGAAATCAAATTTTTTGGAAGCTCTGTTTAGAAACTTATTAGGCCTATAAGTGATTTTTAACTGAACTGCGAAGGGGTTAAAAATTATATAGGCAAAATTTATGTCCTGAAACATTATGAACATAAAGCAAAGAAACATCTATTCATTTCGCCGAAAGAATTAAAATAAAAATTTTATGGGGGTGGGTTATAACCCCATTTTATGGAAAAAATTAGGGGGAGGGTTGCGTGTACGGGTCATGTAGTACACGATTTATGCTATAATTTAAAACTTTTTTGAAGTTTTTACCACGTCAGGTTAAAGAGAAAAATCATATTAAACACCCATAAAAACATGTTTCTTGGGAGTTTTTACCCCCACTTTTTTCAAAATCCTAACATGCTAGGCAATTTTAAGATCCGGGATCGTGTTCAGCACCCAAAAATACATTAGAAACCATTCTGATATCAAGATAAAAGTTTTATTTTGTAGGCCTCTGTGATTTATTACGTTTACTGAAGCCATATATACAAATTTGCATTACACTTATGACATCGACGGGGTTGGTCTCATTCGAAAGAGAATCCAAAAATACATTAATTTACATTAATTAATACATTTATACTTATATCGTTTTCGTTTTTTTCACACACTTCGTTGTTGTGTTCTGCTGCTTATGCGATGGTAAAGAAATTTTTTTGCTCATAAGGTAATTTAAATAGTAGGTAAAAGTAGGAAATTCTGCCGGAAAAACGTAAAAATACAAAAGTGAAGGACATGTCATTTTCATTTTCTGGAAATTGTATAAAATAAAGTTTAATTACCAACACTTGATTTTCCTTAAATATAGAACTAATACTTCACGAAACATTTTTTTAATCTGGTTTAAACACTATATTTTCGACATTTCATTCATTTGAACATTGAAAATGTCTCCGGAGACGCATTACACTTATGACATTTTACCTGCTTTTTGTTCTGCCAATATTATGAAAATCACTTTTATGTCCTTGTAAGTAGAAAAATTATTGAAAATTATTGCTTTTTACTATATAAACAAATTCATTTCAACTAAGGTTATATGAAATAATTTTTTTTGTCAAGGGACACGAATATGACAATTTAAATGAAATGAGCCGTATATAATACATCCTGACTCGTAAGGGAGTATTTTATTGAAAAAGGTCATATTTTCGTAAATTCGATTTTTCTCAAAACAACGTTTTTTGACCTGGCGGACATCATAAAAGAAAAACTATTGCACCGATTAAGCTCAAATTTTTATGGCTTATTTTACCATATACCGCCATCGACGGAACTAGAATCATAATTTTTCATTAATATTTAACCATTTTTTAAAACAATTTATGTTGAAAAAACAAGGTCAAAAATGAAAAAAGTCCGCCACTTTGTTTTTTTTCATCGAAAATAGTTGATTGTAGTTCCGACGATAGCGACGAGCTTACCTTTTAAGAAAATATAAAAATTTTTTTTTTCGATGACCTGAATTGGAGATATCTGGTCCGCCAATCACAAGTAGGGGTATTTTCAGGCGGCCATGACAGCAAGATAATCCATAATAAATAAGGAATAAAATTTTTTTTAATAGTTTAAAACCCCTTCTTTTTGGTATAAAAAGTTTGAAGTAAATAAAATAAATTTTTTAAGAGCATTTGAACCTTCGTGACGTCACAAATCATGGCGCATGACACGCAAACTTCTCAGGTATGTGAAAAGCACAATTTTGAATATTTTTTAAAAAAACCTTTTGGAAAATGTTCAGAATAACATAGACACTGTCTGTTATGTGCGGAAAATTCAAAATTTTGCGTTTAAAACGTTTTTTAAACAATGTTAAGGTCACAAATCATGGCGCATGACACGCAAACTTCTCAGGTATGTGAAAAACACAATTTTGAATATTTTTTAAAAAAACCTTTTGGAAAATGTTCAGAGAAACATAGACTATGTCTGTTATGTGCGAAAAATTTAAAATTTTGCGTTTAAAACATTTTTTAAACAATACCTACATATAAGCAATTCGTGTATTTTTCCTTACTTGTGACAACCAACTTAAACATTGTTTAAAAAACGTTTTATACGCAAAATTTTGAATTTTTCGCACATAACAGACATAGTCTATGTTTCTCTGAACATTTTCCAAAAGGTTTTTTTAAAAAATATTCAAAATTGTGTTTTTCACATACCTGAGAAGTTTGCGTGTCATGCGCCATGATTTGTGACCTTAACATTGTTTAAAAAACGTTTTAAACGCAAAATTTTGAATTTTCCGCACATAACAGACAGAGTCTATGTTATTCTGAACATTTTCCAAAAGGTTTTTTTAAAAAATATTCAAAATTGTGCTTTTCACATACCTGAGAAGTTTGCGTGTCATGCGCCATGATTTGTGACGTCACGAAGGTTCAAATGCTCTTAATAAAAAAAAATATTTAAGAAAAATCACTGAGATGTGGTACTAACCCCTTAAGTCTCGATAGACTAACAGTAGAATGTTCCCTAATAAGTCAAAAGATGTGTCTTAGAAAACTACAAAATGAAGAAAACATCTGATGTGTCAATACATTTTTTTAAGTTATGAGCCAAAATTTTTTAATCTTGTGAAGTAAACTTCAATAACGTTCAGTTACTACTTAATATGATAATGCGTATGATAATGTAAGCCAACCTTAATGCAGATGTGATGTATTAAAAAATATGTTATTTTGTAAGAACCATTGCGATGTTGACCTTATGAAGGTAGAAATAATTAAATCCAAAGTCGTACCCACAAACATGTCTCCAACATTTGTTTCTGTAAACCTAGTAGGAATCATTCTTGAATCCATGCATGTAAAAAATATGGCCTTTGGCTGCAAAAATAGAACAATTGAAATTTAAACGGGTTAATAAATTCTGTAATACATAGAATAGTTTCGGGAGGGAAATAAGAAACCCTACTTTATAGGCTTTTGGAAACTCTAAGGAAATAAACAATAAATAAAATTAGTTTTCAGAGGCGTAGTATAAATTCTTATGTATAATTATTCCTGAAAATTTAAACGAATTTTTACAGCGAGGGAAAATATTTTTTATACTTTTCACTGAGAAATCTATATAGCATTTCCCATGGAATTTTATACGTATTTTTGCAAGAATTTCAAGAGTTTCATGCGAAATTGAACCGCCGGATCGTAGAAGGGCATACGCGTGAAATCCAGCGCTTTAAGTTGGCCCCTGACATGAAAAAAAACCTTTTAATTTTGATTTTTGAATATTATATCCTTGAACAGAATAAAATTCCGCAACTTTTTTCTCAATAAAGTTATTTTTTAAAGTGAATTGTTTTCAAAATAATTGCAAAAAACTTGATTTTTTTATACCGTAATATTTCATTCAATTTTATGTTCAACTCGTCATAAATCCGAAGTTTTTTGACTTTTTGACTTCAGATTTAGAGGATTTACTTTTCAAAGTGTCCCAAAAGTGTTAGATGAACAATAAATAAATTAAAATAATAACCAACATTTTTATTAATTTATTTATATTAAAGGCCAAAAAAAATTATTTAATACTTTCAAATGAAGAAAGTCTGTGACGAACTTTCGAATTGGAAAAACTTCCAGTGGAAGAATTGTTTATAATAGTTAAAAAGGTTTTAAACTAATTTGATTAAACATTTAGAATTTATAACAGTTTTACTTTTTGGTACGCCGCGCGTGGCCCGGCCGTGCCCACTTGGAAAGATTCCCCGGAAAGTGCCCCCTGGAGGTTCTATCAGAATTCCGCCGGAACTTCCGACAGAATTCCGATTAATTTTTTTCAAAATTTTTAGAGTCCTAATTCCGTTGGAATTCCGTCGGAACTCTGTCGGAATTCTGATAGAACCTCCAGGAGGCACTTTCCGGGGAATCTTTCCAAGTGGGTGAGCATTGACTTGAGTATTTCCCACTAAAGAGGAAAGGTTAGATGCTAAAAAAATTAAAACAATAATATTTATTATAAACTTAATTTAATAATAATATTAAATAATTTAATAATATTTAAAAAAATAATAAAAATATTATTAAATCAACAAAAACTTGAACATTTGTTTATAACATATTCACTCCGTTAAGTATATTTATACGTCTTATTCGCTGTCTTCGTCAGAAGAATTGTTATTTTCAGTATGAGTGGGAGTTATTGATTGAAAATAATTATTAAAAAATTCTTTTCTTTCTTGAGATAGATACAGCATTAGACTTTTCAAGTCTTTAATTTTCGCTTGAGTTATTCCAACATGAGGAGGCATTAGTTTTGGTAACTCTGAAAGTCTTTTTTTTGTCAAATTTTGGAAAATCAATGGACTTTCCTTTGTATAATTTTTGAAAATTTCAATCTTACCATTAGGCTGATAGCATATCACTCGAGCTTCAGAAATTTTCATTTGCTTCGGTTTGCGTAATATACCAGACAACATTGTTTCAAAGTCTTGTAAAATTTCAGGTACAGATTCTATGACATGAAAAGGGGTATTTTTCGCGTTTTTAATTAAATCAAAATATTTTTGTGCAGTTTCAATTTTTTCAATCTTTTTTTTTTTGAGCATAGGTCGCGAAATTTCTGTCGCATTGACAAAAAGAGTGACCCCGGACAGGAAAAATATGTATGATCTGTGTATTTAATTCTGCTGCGAATAATAATAAGTATATGAATACGGTATAATTGCGATTTTTACTTCCGCAAGCGTCTGAAAATAGAATTATTTTTCAGTGCCTTGTGGGATCAAATTCAACATTTATCACGTAGTCCAAGAAACTGCAAACTGTATTTGCACCTTTTTTTGCCAACCCTTCCATATAAGGAAACATATAACTGTCTTCAGTATTATGCAAATGAACATTGAAAAGATATAACCATATTAGTCTTTTATAAAATTGATCACCGACAGCTAATTTGAGAGCAAAGGTAAATTTTGCGCGTAATCAAATTCACAACATAAACAATTTTTTTCAAGCAAAATATTTTTTTTTAATAGTAAATATTCTTCGACCATTTTTTTGTGATTCACGATTTCATCCGATAAAGTTTCATTATTTTCATTTGCAAAACATTCGTTGCATACATCGGTTCTAGGTAATTTAAAACTGAATGGAACATTTCTATTAAAATATTTACAATACGTAGACAAACTTATTGGACAATAAAATTTTTGTGTAACACTTTTATAAAAATCGCAAAATAAATCGTATAAAATTTGTAAATTTAATTCCGAATTACTGAAATAATTCAATGTAGTAGTTTCACGTTTATAGTGATATTGACGATGAGGAATACTCTGACAATGAATAAGAATCAGTTCTTTAATATCATCTGTCAATTTTTCCTCTCGATTATCATGTTTCCCTCTTTTATCATTTAAATCTTTGTTATTTAAAATTTTGTCTTGAACAGTTCTAAATCTTTTAAATCCGACATTTAAAACATTGCTCAAAAATTGCTTACAAACAGAAATATTTTTTTCATCTGTAGGGAAGTAATAATGCCATTTTATCAATCTAGTTTTAACAATAGAATCAATATTCAAAGGATCAGAGCATTTTATTAAAGTTTTTAGCATTAAATTTTGTTTGTGGTAATCACCCAATTCCCAAAAATCAGAAAATAGTTTTTGTTGTAAATTTAGACTGATTTTTTCGTAACATTTATTCATTTGGCAGCAGGATTCAACAGGATGAAATGATTTTTCACTGACAGTTTTTTCTGTTGTTGCAATATATTCAAGACCCTAAAACAATTACTTATTTTGCTTCCTCGTGGAGGAAGCTATGTAGTCCTTTCGTTTATAAAATTTTTAAAAATGGTGAAAACAAATTTTCCTCTATATAGAAACATGTTATATGAGATCCTGATCAATTGTCCGGATGTATGTATGTGTGTGTGTATGTGTGTGTGTGTGTGTGTGTGTGTGTGTGTGTGTGTGGATAGTTTTTGTGAACACGATATCTTTAACAGGTTTTAATGGATTTGGGTAAAATTTGGTAGGCTTATTTAACACATTAATCTCTCAAAAATGACGAGAGGATTTTTAAAAATACCCAAAAAAAAAAATTTATCGTCTTTTTTCCAAAATTTTTTTTTTAATTGAAAAAATTTTTAAATCGAAAAATTTAAGGTAATATATAATATAATCGTCTTCTTTATGTCAAGATGAATCGATTGATATATATAAAGTATAGATTTGATTGAAATTTAAAGAATTAATGAAAGTTAAAAAATCAAAAATTCTCATTTTAGCTAAAAAATGATGTGTTTGATTAAATTCAAGTTTATATATGAAATAATTTTATTCCTTGCATTGAAACAAATCAATTAGTATATAGAAAGTATACATTTGAATAAAATTAAAAAAATTAATGAAATTTAAGAAATAAAAAATTTACGTTTTAGCTAAAAAATTTTGTTTTTATTTAAATTCAAGTTTAAACATAAAATAATTGTATTCCTTGCATTGAAACGAATCGACTGGTATGTATAAAGTATACATTTGCGTTAAATTAAAACAATTAATGAAAGTTAAAAAATAAAAAATTTACATTTTAACAAAGAAATTTTGTGTTTATTTAAATTCATGTTCAAAAATAAAATAATTGTATTCCTTTTTTTAAACTTTCATTAACTCTTTCAATTTAAATAATAATAATAATAATTTAAATATATATCATACATACCAATCGATTTATTATAATGCAAGGAATGCAATAATTTTATGTTTAAACTTGAATTTAAACAAACACAATTTTTTTATGTATATTAATTTCAGTGTTACTGCTTCCTCCATGAGGAAGCAAATTTTTTGCATCATATAATGAGGAAGCAAAATGTTCATGAAATGAACATAAAGGACACCCTACTTGTTTTAATTCTGCTTATACAAGTATAATTATTTTAAAATTTTTTAAGAATTAATTTTCCTGGTGAACAAAATTTACTTTTTTACGTTTATATTTTTTATTTCAATGTTATTCAAATTGAAAATAAATTAAAAATAATTCAAATACTTACTTCTTCATCAAAAATTAAAATAAAAAATACTATAATAAATTTCGTACTTGTAATTTTTATAAAATTTAATTCAACTAATTGAACTACAAATTAGTAAAAAAAACTACAATAAAAAAATTTAATGTTTAAAAAATAAACAATAAAAAAGCTTCTAATAAATAACAAAACAATATAAAGTAAAAACTTAAAAAAAACACTATAATTAAATAAAAGACCATAAATTAATAACAATAGAATTGAAAATGTTTGAATCATTTTCATTATTATCAAATTTAAAAAATACCTTTTTCCTTTTAGTTTTTCTAACATTTTTTTTCCAATTTCTAGGATTTTTTGCTATTTTTCTACGGGACTGGGTAAAAGAATATAGCGAGAGAACAACATCGAAAACTTAAAAATAATAAATATTGAATTTGAAACATTAATAAAATAAAATACACACAAAAAATAAAAATTATATTTTTTAAAAATTGTTTAAAAATGTATAGGGTCAACCGGGGTAAATCCGAACGCTTTTAGTAAGTTTCAACAATAACATAAGTTTTTTCTTTAAAAAAAAAATACTTCCGGTATTCTGGTGCATGAAGTTGTTACTTTACTTCCATAGAACAATTTTATGGGGTAGCAAAAATTTTTGATAAATTACAATCGCAGGAAACTTAGCGTTCGTATTTACCTCGATACTTTGCAACTTTCCTAAAATACCGGGGTAAATACGAACGCCACTGTATTTCAGAAAAATCTTAGGGAAAATAAATTTAAAGTATTGCAATTGTTAAACTTATATAAAAACTCAAAAAAAATACGATAATAAACCTATTATGTA